TTTTCAATTTGTGAAGGTTTGGTTTGCATCACTTTCAGCATACTGTTTCTACTTTTCATGGTCTCTATGAAAAGAGTTACAGTCACATCACACATGCAAATATTTTATCAAAAGTGGTTATGCAGGTGTGGGTAAACCCATATGCATTGCCACCTGTAAAAATCATATACCGTATTTTTCGCCCTATAGGACGCACTTTTTCCCCTCCAAAAATGAAGGGGAAATGTGTGTGCGTCCTATGGGGCGAATGCAGGCTTTCGTTGAAGCCTGGAGAGCGAGAGGCGTCGGTGCGCACCGACCCCTCTCGCTCTCCAGGCTTCAGGAAGCTATCCGCAAGCCTCGCGCGCCCGGTGGGAGGTCCCGCCGGGCGCGTGAGGCTTGGGCGCGGCAGCCTGCAGCCCGAAGCACGGGGCGAGCTGCGGAGCCCGCCCCGTGCTTCGGGCAGATGTCCGCAAGCCTCGCGCACCCGAAAAACTTTATTCCCCCCCCCCCCCGAAAAAACTAGGTGCGTCCTATGGGGCGGTGCGTCCTATGGGGCGAAAAATAGAAAAATACAGTATATGTTCTACAATTCCTACATTTGATGGAATATTTGCTATTCATACTGAATCCTGAAAACTGAGCAGACGTGCATTCTCATGCATCCTACATTACACTAGACTAATGTACAGTAGACTAATAATGAAAATATCTTTTAAAATCATACTAATTGGGTTGCCTTTAGGTATGTATGAATGGCGTCTGCTTATCTGTCAATCTTTCTGCTGAACCAAATGCCACTCAAATTCAGCTGTATGGGCAGAACTTTTAAGAAGAATGTCTTAACACAGCTTTCCCCATTCTGGCAGCCTTCAGGTGTTTTGGGTTACAATTCTCAACATCCATGAACATTGGCTAGAGAAGACAGGGGCCGATAGGAGTTGTAGTTCGAAACATTGGAGGGCATCAAGTTGGAGAAGGCTGTCTTAACATATGTAGGTAAAAAATGGCTTGAACATGAGCTTCTGCAGGTACCAAAATGCTAATTAGGTAGAAAATAGATTATCTTGTATACACTTCATTACCATATTCACTCACAACGTAATAGTTGCCATAGATAAGTAAACACAAGATTCCTCCCTGCTCCATCCCATTTTGCTGAAAATTAAGCAAAATTAATTCTTCAATTAAGCTTTTAGTATGGCAGCACTGAGCATGTCTTAAAAGATTACTTGCATTCAATTTTACCAACTAAAACTGACCTATTGATTTAAAGTCACCAAGAAAATGCGTAGATGATCTTGTGCCAGGAATTATTAATGAAATAAGTTAGATAAACTGTGCTTTCTTTGTATGGTTGGGACAAACTGATCAGTGTACCAGTGTAACAGTTATTAATTGCTCCAGCCTGGTGGCTGTAGGACACAATCACTGTCTCTGCCTTGCCACTACTCTTAGGTTTAGTCAGTTAGAATAATAATATTGTTTCATGATCCCCACTTCCATAAGCAGTAGAAAGCTCTAGGGGAAGTCTTTTACACTGTCTGGCTTATTGTTACAAGGCAGTACTGAAGACCTTCGGCATGCTTGGAATGTCTGCTTCTTTATAAATATGCAAGCTGTGCATGAGGGAACACGCCCCCAGATATAGTGCTAATATTTAAGGCAGCATTCAGTCCTGCAAAAGCAAACAGTGTGTTTATCAAGCCCTCCTTTTCTTTTTCCTTCATTGACTACAGTCCAACAATCCAACAACGTTCTTCAATCCTACTCAAAGCGGGCGGAGCGTGTCCAATAGCCACCATCCACCTGCTATCAAAAGCTCAGTTAACTAAGCAGGGATGTTCCTCTCAGTGCCCATTAAAGAAATTGCTTCAATCTAGGCTTTTGTTTAATTATCTGTTTACTTTGCATGGCTTTAACAATATATTGGACATTGTCGTAAATGTAGCGTAATAAGAGGCAGGAAGCTGTAGATCCTGATGACTAGCTGAGACCAGAAGGGGGAATAATCAGAGGCAGGATTCAAGGAGGGTACATGGAGTGAGTGAGTGTGTGTGTTGGGGGTGGGGTTGGCATGGGAAATATCAGGAAGACAACTGTAAACATAAAATAGCATGTTGTGTTGCATGAACGGAAGGCAGTACAAAAGAAACTCATGTGGAGCAAAGAGGAAAATTTGGGCAGGGGACTCAGGGCTCTCTGTGTGCATTTAATCAGACCCTGTTCTCCTTCCTAATTGTTGCACACCAAAGTACCTCAGATTCTAATTAACTGGTTAGCATCATTTAGTTTCTTTTCACTTGTACTTTTTGGTTCAGGAACCGGTTACCCAGACCAGTGTTTCCCAAACGTTTTTGGGCAACGGCACACCTGTGTACTGAAAAAAAATCTCGCGGCACACCACCATTAAAGCCCCGCCCCGTGACGTCAGCGCGCAGCGTCACGCCGGGAGGGACGCACAAAAGTGAAAGTTTTTTCCCTCCCCCTTGCTGGGGAACCTCCAAGCTTTGGGGGTGGGAGGAGGCAGCAGAGCGAGGGACTGAGGGACGGCGGCAACTGAGGCGGCGGCGGCTGAGGCAGAGCTGGGAAGGGGGTTTCCAGGGGACACGGCAGCTCCTCGAAAGGCTTCTCTCAGCTGCGCTCAATCCGCCTCGGAGAGGATTTCCCCTCCGGTCCCATGCGTTCGTTTGGGGCATCGCTCCGGCTGCTCCCTCTCCCGCCGCGCAGGAGCGATGCCTCTCTCTGGCTCTCCCTCCGCGCAGGCTGAGGGAGGGAGGGAGGGGCGCGTGTGACCCGTCTCTGCTGGGAGACCAAACCCAGCGAGGCAGAGTCGCGCGGAGGCGCCCAGGCAGCGCTGCCGGCTGCGAGGAGGAGCGCCAGGCAGCAGCAGGAGGCGCGGCCTCTCCTCGCCGCCGCCGCCCCGCCTCTCGCCGCCCGACTCGCCCGCCTCCCTCCAGGCATCTCGCGGCACACGAGGCAACGTCTCACGGCACACTCGTGTGCCGCGGAACACCGGTTGGGAAACACTGACCCAGACAACACCAGATAATAGGAATAGGCTCATCAAGCTTACAGAAGAGGTACCCCCACCCCCCACCCTAAATTTGTATCCTTTCCTATTTTGATTCTGTGGCTTTTTTGTGTTTGCCACAGTAGTACGAACTAGATTATTTTAGGGGTTTCACCTGAAGCTCTTCCCTGTTGAGTACTACTGTTGTTTATAATGAGATTATTCTGATGATGGTGCATACCTGAAGTTCTCAGCAGGATGGGCACAACAATGCCCTTTGATACCCTACTTGTGGTCCTCCCCCTGCCCCTCCCTATTCTTATTGTGTTTGCTCTTTCTTTGTTTTTTTTACTTGAGGGAGTTGGATTCTTTCCTTTGGCTTTTGTTTGTTTAGGGTGTTTTGCCTTCTTTTTTGTCTGTGCTTTATTTGTATTGGGGGGGTTGGGGGGAGGGGGTGTAGGTAGGCCAAGAACAAACTTACGGGCAGACTCAGTCCTAGCACTAAGCCAAACTAGGTCACACCACAACAGGAGGACCAGGGGAGGAACAAAGCAACCACAGTTCCTGTTGTGAGTACGCACACCCTCAGATGTTCATGCTTAGGTGTGAACTGGCCAGATAAGCTTTGTATGAAGTGAAGTTTGTTCAACAATTTTTTTTCTGTGCTGGCTTTCTCAACTGTGACTTACATTTGATTAAAACAAATAATGCATAATTCTACCTAGCAATACTTTCATCATTGGACATTAGTAGCATTTATTTATTTATTCAGCCATTTGGAATTTCCGTTCATTATCCCTTCTAATGGCACTGACAGCTGAAAAGGCTCTAGCTAGACTGGAGATTCACCCGTCTGATCCTGCAAGAAAAACTTGAGCAAGATAATCCCCTAGGGCTTCATTTCTCTTTTCAGCTGGTGTGAACAGGTAGATCAACCAAACTGGAGGCTAGATTGTCATATCAAAGAGGAAACTCCCATTCAGAGTTCATTGGGTTCTAGAATGAGTAACAAGTACCGTATATTTGTAGGTCCATCGTTTCATTAATTTCTTCTTGGTCTTTACATTCAGGCTTTGATTTATCACTGTGAACTCTACTCTTATTTTTAAAGTAAATAATGTATTCAAGTACAGTGATTCCAAAAGCGCAGGTTTTAAGCAAAAGTGTACACAGTGAACTACTAACCAGTTACAGTTGAAACCCTTTATGCTGAGGCTGCCTAATACAATGAGTATTTCATATATTGTTATAACTCATAAAAGATAGAAAGGAGAGTTGTGAATATTGTGGCAAAGGTCAGCTTTGAGTAGAAAACATTAGGTTTATTTTATTGTAGCATTTTAAAACTACAATAAGTCAATCCCCAAAGCGTTGTATAAGGATATCACCAAAATTTGATAATTTCACAAAAACGACACTATGCACAATTTATAGTAAGGAATTTATCTGTTCTCGCTCTCTCTCTCTCTCTCTCTCTCTCTCTGTGTGTGTGTGTGTGTGTGTGTCTTCTTTCTTTCTTTCTTTGTCGGTATAATGCCTAAAAATAGAAAACACCATTCAAAGGTAGCTTGACTAAAAATAACGCTTAGGATAATGCTTCCATTGTTCAATAATAATACTTTTTTGTGAAACCTCAGTAACTTTTTAAAAATCAGATGGCACTATGTGACATTGCTCCTTTTCCAACCACATTTCATCAAATGTGATGAATTTGCACTCATTATAAAGTCTGAAAACCAGGTTTGAATGCTTTCCAGCACAATAAATGATCATTATGAATGATTCTGAAGACAGAAAGCTTAATTAACCGTTACTTGATTAACAGATCACTTGATTTCTGATCCAGAATTAAACGAGCTTTGCTTTTGCTCCATCTTTCACAGCTGTGTTGACTTCATAATATGAAGAATATATTCCAGTCTTACTCAGAGCTAACAGCTGCACTGGTACAGCTAACTTTTCTGTCCGCACTTATGGCATTAAGTTCTGCCATTTTTTCATTCTGCAGATGACTCCTAAGTCTAAAAGGAAGAGTATCCACAGTAGAATGCTGAGGCCTGTATCCAGAGCTTTTGGTAAGTGGTTGTTTCTTTTCACAATTTATTAAGCTACTTCCTTAAGATTTATAAGATTTACCTAAATAGACCAGGGATGGGGAATCTGTGACTGTGGGGAATATGATGATGGACTACAATGAAGGACCCATTCCTGTTCTAGAATATAAGCATTATTTGGTCTGATGCTCTCATCTAGCCTTATACAAATTAACAATTCAAAATAGATACTGATGCTCAAGCTTCTTTAGGGGTGTTAGTTGTGCAGGAATCTGTGTCTACAAAAAAAGATGAAATACTTTAAATATAGAATTGCAGTTATCAAAGACATTATGAGTGAAGATAGTTTAGATGCTGTAGGCCTGGTCATTGTCAAGCCTCAGGCACTCACATGCTTCTCCCTCCCTTCTTCCTTCCCTTATGGACTCTGATCCCCTCATACCCTTTCTGGTTTAAGACATCCTATAGTTCACCATTATATCCAAACCAGAATTGGAAATTATGTGCAAACCATAATTTCCAGTTCTGGATTGCCACAAACTGGCGAGTGCAGAAAGGGTGGGGTGAAAAAGTGATCCAATCATCAAAGCATGATTTGTCATTATTCCAAACTATTTCATATGTGTCTGCTTACAAATGCCATTTCCCACTGTGGGGACTTATTGACAGGGTTATGCCTAATGTTAACAAACCTGACCAGAGAAGGAGAGGTTCAAATATAATAAACTTCAAATATTTCTCTTAGAGATGGAGTTTGACTTGGACAAAGCATTGGAAGAAGTTCCCATCCACATAGAAGACCCCCCATTCCTTTCCGGAAGAGTGGACAAACGGACTTCTGGGCTTATGTCAGAGCTGCCTTCCGAGGAAGGGAAAAAACTGGAGCACTTTACAAAACTAAGGCCCAAGAGGAATAAAAAACAACAGCCCACACAAGCTGCTGTGAGTGAAAATCTTGGTTGTGATATTTTCCTTCATAGGAGAGATAGCTGAGTCAGTAGAGCAAGAGACTCTTAATCTCAGGTTTGTGGGTTCAAGCCCCACATTGGGCAAAAGAGTCCTGCATGGCAGGGGGTTGGACTAGATGACCCTCATAGTCCCATCCAGCTCTACAATTCTAGGATTCTTATTATTCTATTATTTAAATAATGTGCAAGCTTTAAGCCGTGCTTTAAGATTTCTGATAGCCACGTTCAGTCCTGTTTGGTTGCTTATTTTTCTGTCCTCTTGTTAGCACTCTTCATAAGAAAAACTGCTGCTTCTCAAACCCATACGCAGTTCTGGCTTTTGACACTCATAACTGGGAATATAGAACCTCCAGAGGCTTCTGTATTAAGTAAAACTATGTCTTATCAGGTGAGTACGACAGCACCTCAAGATGGCGAACAGAATGGTCTTATGGGAAGAGTGGATGAAGGCGTTGACGAATTTTTCACAAAGAAGGTGACAAAAATGGATTCAAAGTAAGTCCTATTCTTCAGCAAGGTGCAGTAGCTGAAGCTGCTGTAGTTATTTGGGAGTGTTTTCTGTCTTTAAAAATTCAAAATAGCAAGTACAGCACGCTGCTAGCGCTAATGTAATAGACGTAATTATGCCAATAGTAAGTTAAAGTGACTTATATATGCTAAATATGTCTATATACATATATTTGGGTTTATGTCACCGTAGCACCACTTAAGTTCATTAGAATTCTTTATGATTGCAATTTACGCAGAAGAGCCATTCTTTTAGGAAGCTGCCTTATACCGAGACCATTGATGCTCAGCATCTTCCATATTTACTGGCAATGGCTCTCCAGAGTTTGAGGCAAGAAGTCTTTTCTAAGCCACATCTGGAGACACCAGGGATTGAACCTGGGAACTTCTGCATGCAAAACCTATGCTTCACCATATCTTGGTGACGTTCCAGTGCTACATGTCATGGCACAGCACTGCAGGGCATTGTGTAGGATTAAAGAGTGGCATAAGCAAAGGAGGCCGAGGAGGAAGGCAGTGGTGAGAAAAAGCAGACAGTGAAGCAAGTGTGCCAAGCAGTACTTAAATGCTGCATTTCCTCTTCAAAGTGGTTTAGGGCAGGAGGGGTGATTTTGTTCAGCTGAAGCAATTGCAGGTACAGTGGTACCTCAGGTTACATACGCTTCAGGTTACAGACTCCGCTAACCCAGAAATAGTGCTTCAGGTTAAGAACTTTGCTTCAGGATGAGAACAGAAATTGTGCTCCGGCAGCGCGGCAGCAGCAGGAGGCCCCATTAGCTAAAGTGGTGCTTCAGCTTAAGAACAGTTTCAGGTTAAGTACGGACCTCCGGAATGAATTAACTACTTAACCTGAGGTACCACTGTATTTTGAGGTTGGTATCAAAATCCGGTACCACACAAAACCCTCGTTTCCTTGACCAAACAGAATGTGTTCTGACTTGATTGTGCTATTTTATTTATTTTCTTTTAGTTACTTATTAAATTTTCGTAGCACCCTTCGTCCTAAGATCTCAGGGTGATTTACAGAATAAAAATACAAGATAAAAACACAAGTATTAAAGCAAAACAACAAACCACCCCCTTCCCACAGACACATTTAAAAGGCTGTAGAATATTAACCAGCCAAAGCCCTGGTCGAAGAGGAATGTTTTTGCCTGGCGCCTAAAAGTATATAATGAAGGCACCAGGTGAACTTCCCCAGGGAGAAGTATGATAACTCCACAAAACTATGTCTCTGGTAGACATAATCTACCAGAGAAGATTGACTTCTCTGGTAATATAAAATGCATTCTTTATTTAGAACCAGCATGACTATGGAATTTAAACAAGAAGAATTTAATACAGTACTGCACCAGATTCCCTTAGGAGGTTGTGGACTCTCCTTCCTTGGAGGGCTTTAAGCAGAGGTTGGGTACCCATCTATCATGAATGTTTTATCTGAGATTCCTGCATTGCAGGGACGTTGGACTAGTTGACCCTTGAAGTCCCTTCCAACTCTACAGTTCTATGATGGCTCAAAACTGTGGTTAGTCAAAATACCACTGAAAGCTTCCAATCTCCTTGTGATCTCACCAGATACGGAGAGCGGAAGCACAGGAGTCTATGTAACACTAAACCGTAGTTTAGCATTATGTCCAAATGAGGCCATTATAGCTTATGTGTCTTTTTCATCTATTAGGAGATCCTCAACAAAAGGCGCGGACACAAATGATTCCGGAGAAGCCACTGATGAAAAGAAGAAAAGAGATTCTCGGAAAAGCGGCTTTCTCAATTTAATCAAATCTAGATCAAAATCTGAACGTCCTCCAACTGTTCTGGTGTCAGAGGACCCCTCAGCACCCAAAGGTGCTGCCAAAGGCCCCACAGCAGACACTGCAAAGAAGGAGGTTAAATCAGCTGAACAGAATGGCAACACTGAAAAAAACGAGGAACTGAAAACGCCAGACTCAGTAGAGGAGGGGTCCTCAGAGGATGCCTCAAAGCTTGAGAAGAGTGACAGCAAAGGCAGTCCTCAAGGAGGACGTCGGTATGGGGTGCAAGTGATGGGCAGTGGACTTTTAGCAGAAATGAAAGCCAAGCAGGAGCGCAGAGCGGCATCTGCACAAAAGGTGAGTGATATTTTCATTTTAATGGTCGGAGCAGTTCATTTGAGGGCTTACATGGAGCAACGTAGCTAAATGTTGGCAGCCAGCTTGAGGCATTTGATTCTGACCAAGATATATACTCAATTGGCTTTAGGACTTACTGTTTCTATATTTTTGTATTTGTTGTTAAAAAATTAGCATGTTTGTATGTGTTGAGGTGACAGCTGGCTGCTTAAACGTACCTGAGGTAGGAACCAAAACTATAAGGAATTTACTACTTGATGTGCGACCTAGTACAATTCTACTACAATTGTTGGTGAGGAGCAGATGTGTGCTAGATGAAAAGATGGCAAATGTTGGGTGGGGTGGGGGTGTTTTTTGTGTAATTCGCAGGAACAGTGAAAGATCAGTGAATAGGGGATTAGTCTTCTCTCCAAGCAAATGTTCGGCAGTGGTCTTGCTCCACCTAGTGTTTGAAGAGATTTTAATATTAGCTCTAGGAACAAATGCAGTGCAAATAAGACCAAGTAGCATGGCTTAGTTAGCACTTGAGATGGTTTAAAACAGAACTCTCCAGCAAGCAACGGTAAGACTAATGAGATTTGGGAGATGGTATTGTTTGCAGTTGCTATGAAGTGCAGTTAGATATCAAATAAAATACAGGCGACTTCCCGCTTACGTGGGGATTACGTTCCCAGGTACCACACGTATATGTGAAATTGGAATAGATATTATTGGCCTAATCCAACAAGTTACAAAATCTGGTGTTGGCTAGAAAGAGGGAAGAAACTCCAACCAAAAAGCTTTTGTGGTGGAGCCTTACCCTCCATGTGCTACAACAGCCTGATTCTGTATAAGGCAGCTTCTTATGTTCCCAAATGGGATTTAAACTTCTTGAATGGGATTACAATTAAGTTTGCGCACAATGCTACTTTGATATCATCATGGGGAAATGATGTTCTGTTAATAGATTCATTTTTTTAAAATGAAACCGTAAGTACATGGAGGCCAAAAGGAAGGCTGTTCAGAATTCCCCCCCCCCCTTGCAGGGTGAAGAAAGTGCAAGAGAAATGCAGGTATGCAACGAGATTGGAAGAAATATTTATCCAGCCTTGTTGAATTAATTCCTAACACCTTTATGAATAAAGTTAAAAATAAAAATGTGAACCTGCAGTGAAAATAATAAAGCTAGATATAAAAAAGGAGAAAGAAGCACAGCTGATAGGCCAGCTACAAGGATCTCTGGTCTTAATAAATGCCACTAAAGGCAGAGGTGAACAGGCTGGAGTTCACCAGGGACCAAAAACGATTGTTGAGTAGGCACCAGGTCCACATGTCTAGGAAGGGAGCTCCACCATTCAAATATTTTTTCCCCCAGTGGTCCTTAAGATTCCTGGGCCTCAAGCCATTCATGGTTTCAAAGGCTAAGACACCTATCTCACCACTTTTAGCCCAGAAACATACTGGCAGCCGGTATAGGTATTTTTATACCACCAAAATATATTCTCTTTGGCCGGTCCTTTTTAGCAATTTGGTTGTCCTGTTTTGTACCAATTAGATTTTTCAAACATTCTTCAAAGGCTGCCCAATATAAAATGGACAGAGAGATGTTTTAATTACATGTTTGTTACCCTGGAGTCCTTTGCAAAAAAGAACGGGATATAAATTGAAATAAGAATATGAATATGAATAATGATTGAATTAATAATGATGGGGATGTTGATGAAGGAGCCTTGGAAAATGGTGATCTATAAACCAAGTTCAGAGAATCCTGTTAATTTTCAAGGATTCCTTATCATACTTTTCTTTCTTTCTGTTTTAAAGAAACTAGGGAATGATTCAAGAGACTCAACAGATCTCTCGGTGAATTCAGAACGGCTGGATGGAGGTGCTACAGGTGCGTTTCTATTAGTAAAATGCTACTTCATTAACTAGTGTCCACAAGCTTGCTGGTGCCGATCAGTTAGTACAAATGAATGATTAGAGGTAATATTGTTTTTGTGAATGTACTCGATGGTTAGAGTGATTACAGCCATGCAGACTGAGCCTTATCTGCACAATACCATGGAAATTAGTTTCCATTTCCCCCCTATTCACACCTTGCAAACTACACCTGCTCAAATTCCCTCCGCACAACTGTCCTCTTTTGCATCTGGCCTCCTTGCCACAACCCCCTTTTGAAATCTTGATTTTTTAAAAAAGTGCAGTTATATTATTCATATCCTGTCCAATTTTTACAGGGTAGAGACATGTTACTTATGTTTGTGAAAGCTGACCTACTTTGCTATATTCCTTGACTCCCTCTGTAGGGCAGAATTCTGGTCTGTCTTACATGTAGCTGGTGTCAGTTGCTTAGCATTTTGCTTCATTTTCATTCCCTACACTGTGGGGAAGCTAACCTAGAACGCTTCCAACAGGGAATGATTAACTAGTAGCATCCTCTACGCCAGGACTGGAAATCAAGTTCCAGTCAGCAGTGATGGGAACACAGAAGAAAGTGGTTCTAAGAGTGTGCTGTGGATTTGCCCTCCAGCCTTTATAGATCTGCCCCATGAATGGAGACGGAAAAAACACATTTCAGTTTTTAAGGAATTTTAGAGTGGAAGACACCTGCTAAGAAGTAGAATAGAACCGATTAGTGCCAGAAATAATGTTCATTTGTCTGTGGATGAAAAAAGGCATTTTTCCATGGTTCCTCACAAAATGTATGTCACTCCTTTAAGGAACTTCAAGGATATAAAATGGCTGCCTGACTTTAACCAATATGTAAAATGTAGCCACTGTCACTGCTCCTTTGGCTTCCCATCTTCTCTTAACTTCTGAAACATCCTAACTCTGTATTTCCTCTTTTTATTAAATGCAAACAACCTCATCTGTGTGAAGCACAGTTGGGCAAAGTGTGGCCCTGGTGAATTTCATATCTGTGTCAAGAAGAGGGGCAATTGGGGGAAGCATTTAGCAGAAAGAGAAGAGGTGGTCTTGTTTGTTTTTGGCTGTGGCTGGTATACCAACTACAGTGGTGCCTCGCAAGACGAAAAGAATCCGTTCCGCGAGTCTCTTCGTCTTGCGGTTTTTTCGTCTTGCAAAGCAAGCCCATTAGCAGCTTAGCGGCTTAGCGCTATTAGCGGCTTAGCGGATCAGCTGATAAGTGGCTTAGCGGATCAGCTGATAAGTAGCTTAGCGGATCAGCTGTTAAGCAGTTTAGCAGCTTAGCGGATCAGCTGATAAGCGGCTTAGCGGCTTGGGAAAGGGGGGGGAGGAAAAAAACCCTGCAGGAACTCGCAAGACATTTTCGTCTTGCGAAGCAAGCCCATAGGAAATTCGTTTTGCGAAGCACCTCCAAAACGGAAAACCCTTTCGTCTAGCGGGTTTTCCGTCTTGCGAGGCATTCGTCTTGCGGGGCACCACTGTATATGATCCCTGACAGATTGGGCTGTATCCAACTAAAACTGGTTGGTCCAACATGTGGCCCCATATGACACACCACCACCCTAGCTCACCTTCCTAAAGCTGGGTAAGGGAGACACTGGGCTTTGAGAAGGAGCTATCAGGGGTCTGACAGGGTCCTAGTGTCCTCCCACCTCCTTTCCAAGCCTAGTTAGTGCTTTCCCAGCTTTGGGGAGAAGATGGGAGAGCTTTGGGACCCTGCCAGAGCCCTCACTCCTTCTTCCCAAAGCCAGCACCTCACTTACCCAGCTTTGGAAAGGCAGCACAAAGACTGGGGTGCATCAAATTTTGAATGCCCCACACACAGCAAGGCAGTGTGGCCTGTGGGTTCCATGTTGAAGTACTCTTGTGGCCGACTTGGTATGGAAAGTTGGACCACCTAGAAACAGTTCTGCTAGTGTGGGTACAGGGATCCTTTGACCCTCCAGATGTTGTTGAACTGCAGTCGCCATCATGGTCAATAGCTATGCTTGCTGGGGTTGATGGGAGTTGTAGTTCGGCAACATCTGAAGGGCCAAAAGTTCCTCCTTTGCTAATGCAAGGAGTTTAAGCTGTGCAGTGGAACTTAATGTGGCTTGTCACCTCTCTGTGTGACTTTAAAATCTGTTCTAAGGATTCCTCCAGAGCAGATTTATGCAATTCTCAGGGGGCAGGGAAGTTCTATTGCATGCTTCCAGGGAGAAAATGGTGTCTAAATGACACATGGCCAACTGCACAAACACTTGCTTTGCTCCCTGTATATACAATGTGCATGTGCTAAGATCCCTTTTGGTTTTGACCACATAAGCCCTCTCTTTGAAACGAGCTTAGCTGATGGATATGGGGAGAGGGTTTTGAAGGCAACAGAATATATATTGGAAAGAAAGATGTTACCGGTGGGAAAAGGTGGTCCATATATTTAAATCATTCTGGGAGAGAGAACATTTAGTTCTCACATATCTATCTTACAAGAATGTTTGAACATATACCAGTATTTCTCAAACACTCTCACAAAAATGTGAATTAAAAATTGGAAGAACATCTTGTTCGCATAGATAATACACTTTTAGCCACAGAATGCATGCACACATGTACAAGTCAAAGTACAAAAACCTCTATGTAAGCTAGAAGAATGTCTTGGAAAGTGGCCTGCATCCTGAATCACCTAGCTCTGAATTTAGAAGTAAAATAGCAGGTAGCTGGGCCAAGTTATGAGTTTGGGATATAATGTTCTGCATTAGTTGACTGGCCAAGTAGCTTCAGTAGGATAGCATTATGTTCAGTTATAAAATGCGTAAGTAGAAAAACTTCTTTCTCCATTTGACACAAAAAAACCTACAAGTATATTCTCAAGTATATATAGCTTATATATGCTAGGCTTATATACATACATGTGTATGTATATAAGCCTAGCATATATAAGCTATATATACTTGAGAATAACCAAAGAAAGCATCACCCAGGCAGACTTAAGCATCTTTATGTTCCATAGAATTCAGTAAGTGAATTCACATGATTAAGGAATTCCAGGGTGGTAATTCATAGGCCACTGTATTTTATAGAACTGTGAAATGCATCCACCCCAAAACAACCTTCAAGATATTTGTATGATTAGCCATCCTAGATTGAATGGTGGGTGAATCAAGATCCCTTGACTTTACTGACGGATTTTGGCTCTTTCTCTGTTGACCTGTCTGGACACCAGTCTTCAGGGCAGCTCCTCAGCCATTTTCACAGACTTGCACTGACATAAGGGCTGGATCTACATTGATCTTCTGAACGCTATTAAATATAACACTCTAGAAAGCTTAATGGCAGTTTTCCATTGCCGGTGGCTCACTGCTCTGTTGGTCACATTTTCACAACACCTTTTTAACGTTATAAATGACGAGAGTAGATCTGCCCAAGGTCCATTGAGATATTTTGGGGCTTTCTAAGCCTCAGCCCAGTTTCTCTCTGCCTCATAAAGCTTTCTGTTGGAGCACACAGCTGTTTCCAGACCTCAGAGAATAATAGGGTGGTGGTGATATTTTCTGACAGTAAAGGAGTGAGCACTCACACACTCTCCATATCATCAGGCTTGTGTCTAATGCTCAGGTGTTCCTCTATGGAAACCGACTATATCAGATTATCCCTCTCATTCCCTCATGTGTTACAGTCATCAACCTCGGCCCCATTGAGGAGCCAACCATGTACTCTACCTCCTGCTTAAAGTGCTAATGACCAGGAGAATCAAGCCAGTTTCTAAAGTCAGAGTAGTGATATATCGGCCCAAACCATTCCAGGAATCTGGGCACATTCTCCTTCTATAGCTCCCACAGAGATGGAGAATCTATTGGATGTCTCACTGATATTGCTTGTCAATGACTATAGTCACATTGGTCAGAAAAGAGGACACTTGGGGAAAGTAGCGGCTTTTCCTTTTCCTGAGTAACTGTCAGTCCCCACATATCCCTCTGTGTTTTTTCTCTGCACCTACGGAGGCTAGAAACTTTTTAATACACTGCACTCTTGGTCTCAATCTTCGCTGGGTCCTTTTGTTTCAGTTACCAAGCTCCACCAGTCTTCTCCAGAGAACCGGTTTGCCCTGAGTAAAGCTGACTCTATTGTAACCTCATCAGAGAAAATCACAAAGGCTGAACCAAAGACAGAAGTTGGGGCGAGGACACGAAGTTCTTCTAGCACACCTACCAGCCCAAAGCCTCCACTCCAAGCAGTAAAGCCCAGCCTAGCAGGACGGCCAACAGTTCCTCAGAAGCCACGATCTGCCTCTCGGACTGGTGAGAAGCCTCTGTACACTACGCTAGCATTAGCACAATGGCTTATGTGTGGAAAAATCAATAGTTAAATACCGAAGAGAAAATTCAGAAAATAAGAATGGTTATTATTTTGTTCAGCGGCATTTTTCAATTGTTCTCTGCTAATCCTGACTAATCTTTTAAATGCTAGAAATGGGATTGCAATGGCAAATTATAAGAGAGAATGAGATATTCCCCTAAACACTGAGGTACTAATTTGTAGCCTTTGCATTATAGTACTGCCCTAAAGGTCTCAAAGATTACTACATTCTTCTTGTGTCTGATTAGGCAAATTGTTTCCCCACATTTCTGAATATTGAAATACAGATTTTAAAAAACTTTTTTGAGGCTTTGTTGGAACATATTTAAACAACTTCTTAGGCCCTTCTATTCTGCTTTATTGCCACGTAGCCCTTCAGCATTTTCATTTCTTCCAGCTTACCCACTTTGGAGAGGAGATACTTAGCTTTGAGGCTGTTCCTCCTCTATCATGCTTTCAAAAACTAAATCAGTACATTTGGGTGGGTTGGTTGTGTGAGGGTTTATGTGAACAAATTTCCTAGATGCTGTTGACTGAATTTTTCTGTGTGCACACTGTGTTTCCACAGAGGATATCCCAGAGTCTCCATCTGGTCCAGGTTCCCCTAAAACTGCTCTTCTTCCCCCCATTCTGAAGAGGGTTCCTTCTGATAAAGAAAAAGATGGACAGAGCAGCCCCAAACCAGCTGTAAGATCTCTTTCACACGAAGGTGAGAATGCTAGTATATTTCTCCAGCCCTTTGGTATAATTCAGGGGTCAGAAAACTTTTTCAGCAGGGGGCCGGTCCACTGTCCCTCAGACCTTGTGGGGGGCTGGACTATATTTGGGGGGGATGAATGAATTCCTATCCCCCACAAATAACCCAGAGATGCATTTTAAATAAAAGGGCACATTCTACTCATGTAAAAACACACTAATTCCTGGACAATCCGCTGTCCGGATTTAGAAGGCGATTGGGCCGGATCTGGCCCCCGGGCCTTAATTTGCCTACCCATGGTATAATTGTTCATGTCCTCAGCTTTTGGAAGTCAATTTGCAAAGTTCCTGATTCTGAATACGACCTTAATGTCTGGTCATAATAATGTGTTAATTTACCTATATTATGTGTTCTAATTGCATGCACGCACACGCCTCGCCCTTCTGCAGGGGTTGTTTCCATTCTAGCCCATGGTGCTAATTATATCTCCCATTATCTTTTGTGTTATCTGCAGCCTCCATCATTTCCTTCTCGGTCATAGGGCCAAGCTAGGCAGGAGACTAATGTTAAATGCACCTTTACATTTAACATGCAGGGTTTTCAAAACAATTCAGCTAGCATTCTCCGGAGGGGCTGGTAGTTACTGTGACAGCAGGAGGCATGAAGACTGAATTTAATCCTGCTGCAGCCCTGCAGAAAATGCTACCTCTGAAGCTGATATTTCCCTGGGCATCAAATGCAGATTTCTTCCCAATTTGTGGGGAAGGATTTTCCTCAGGACCTCAGCATGCAAGGGCAAGGTTAAATTGCCCCTCCTCATCTGTTGTTATCCTGATAAATATCACTCCCACTGCCTAAGCAGTATTCACATTTCTAAAAACTTGTGCATTAGATACAAAGAATCCTTTTGTGTACTATCTGCTTTGACCCAGAGAACTCCTGTCATTGGCGGGCAGAAGTCGAATCTCAATACAGATTGCACTTAGGTGCTGCTTCTGGTTGGCCATTGTGAGAAGAGGGAGGTGGACTTGATGGTCCATTCGCCTGTTCTAGCAGACTCTTCATATGTTCTTTCATTAAAAAAGCTCTACAGTGCTCCATCTGCTGAGTAAGGGAGGTATGGTGATGCTCACAGACATTTCACACATTGCAAAGAGGGAAAACTGGATTTTTCATTCATTCATTCATTCATTTTATTTGTATCCCACTTACACACACACACACACACACACACACACACACACAGCCCATGCTCAAAGCAGCTTACAACAAAGAAAACAGGAGTGCATTTCAAACAAACACTGCAAAACAACTCCAAAATAACGTAGCAAAACATTAGCAAATATAACAACATAAAAAACCTACATTTCAATATTATAAATGTAACAAGATTACTGAAACAAGGTGCAGCATCCAATAGCAAAAATAACAAGGGAGCTCCAAGGTTTTGCCTTAGTCCTAGAAACACACCTCCTTGCTTATAGGCCGTCTCCTGCAGCAGCAGCAGCTGCTTATAAGCTTCTTATAAGGCTTCCAAGAGCAAGGGGTGGGGTAATTGAAAACACTCCTCCCATGAATTTTGACCACATGTTCAGCCCCTATAGAAACCTGCAGTCCATCCCAGCTCCCTGGGAAGTGTACGATTAGAACATTTTAGGTGTATTGCTATTGTTACCTCTTGGTATATGTTAGGGCTGGTTAAAATCCATATCCTCCTGTTCCCTTTTTTAAAGTTACAGTTCTGTTTGTGCAACCTATACTTCTGTGTTATGTCTGGCTCCCATTTCACGCTCGCCCCCGTAACTTTATTATTATTCATTTTATTTATTCCCCACTTTTCACCGTAACACCCTCAGATTTTTAAAAAGCAGCATTGAAAACAGTTCAAAACAAATGTACGTGGACCAACACACTTAGTTAATTGGTCCCTTTACCAGTAAATCATTGACACAATTTGCTTGGCAAAAATGATGAAATAATGCCATCTTATTTTCTCTCTCTCTTTTGTGTATTGTTGTGTTACTAAGCATGCAAAATATCAGGATATGTAAAGCATGACATTTTCATTATTAGGGCTGTTAAATTGTATAATATAAACAAATAAGGCTAAGAATGCTGCTGATTGAGCTAATCAGGCTTCAGAATCTGAAATAATTTGCCTCGGTCATTTACTGCAGTGAGTGATACAAGTGCCTTGCGGGGGCTGCAGATTAAAGGGGCAGGAAATGTTTGCAACTCTGCAATGGGTACAACAGTCACATCCTTCATATGGGTTCGGGTAGTAGTACATAGGTCTTTGTCCTATGCAGTTTGGCATCAGTTGTTGCCTGCTGTAGAAATCTCCAAGTGTAATATTAATCCAGTTCATTTCTGCCCCAGTAGGGTATCTCTAGAAAGGGAATGTCCTTATGAGAGCCTCTTGCTTCTGCAGGGAAGGCTGGTTCAGTAAGAAACATTGGGCTGGTTTGCATGTCACACTAAGCGCGAACATATGAGTGTGTAGACTCCTGGGGAGGAGATAGCCGTCCCTTTGCTCTCCCCAGTTCTTTTGCTGCCACACAACACTGAGCTAAGTCATGGCTTGGCTTAGCATCTAGTCCAAACTTCTGCTTATTGGTTTAGCTGGCCAGTTAGATTCAATTCTCCATCGCTGCACTAAGTCAAGCTGCTGCTTAGCTTAGCAAAACAACAAGAGAAGAACAAAGAGGCCACAATCTCCTCACCAGGAGCCCTGACACCTGCCCTAAGCCATGGTTTGGCTTAGTATGACATGCCAACCAGCCCATTGGCTTAACATTTGGTCACATTCTCAAGAATCAACAGCACTCTCAATTCTCCATGCTATAAACTCCAAATGTAAACAGTCCTCAGTGTAACTGCTCAGCGGTTTGATTACGCCTAGTGATTAAGCACCTGTCTCTTTGAAGAGCTGTACCTAGAAAATTAAATACGGTATTTACAAGTTGAGCTTGAAGTTCATTAGTGTCAGTTACAATACATCCCTTCTGAAACCTTTAGTCAACTTAATAGGCATTTTTGTTCAGTGCTTTCCTTTCTCAGGTTTATGCTTAAGGAACAGCACAGCAATTCTGGTAACTCTCCTCTGTATAAAGCATACTAAGTGCTTTAATATTTAATTCCATATATATATTTGTAAAACCTCATTAAGTGGTTTGATTCTCAAAATTTGAGGCTGGAATCCTATTACCTAGAAGTACGCCCCACTGAGCATAGTAGGATATATTTATGTGTAAACATGCTAAAGGTTTGCCACATGCTAGACGTAGGAATGCCATAGGGTCAGAGGCATTCCAGGGTCTCTCCTTTCCCAATAAAGGAACTGGAGGCCCCTCGACTGTCCTCGGGTCCAGTATTGGACCACTTCGACCGGATATCCCCAGCCGATGTGGACAGACTCCTCCGAGCTGGAAAGCCCACCACTTGTCCTCTTGACCCGTGCCCGTCTTGGCTGATTAGAGCGTGTCCAGACGAGGTGCGGGCCCTCCTGGGGGATATCATCAATTTGTCCCTTGGCACTGGGACATTCCCAGGGGAACTGAAGGAGGCAGTGGTGCGCCCGCTCTTAAAGAAAACATCATTAGATCCTTTAGATCTATCCAATTACCGCCCGGTTTCGAATCTTCCGTTCCTGGGTAAGGTGATTGAGAGAGCGGTTGCTGAACAGCTTGGTGGGTTTCTGGATGAAACATCGACTCTGGATCCATTCCAGTCCGGCTTCCGCGCTGGTCATGGGACCGAGACGGCTCTGGTTGCCCTAACAGATGATCTTCGTAGACAGCTGGATCGAGGTGGGTCGGGGCTGCTCATTCTTCTAGATCTGTCAGCAGCTTTCGACATGGTCGATCATGAACTTCTGGACCACCGCCTTGCCGACGTGGGGATCCAGGGCACAGTCCTTCAATGGCTGCGCTCGTTTCTCTCTGGTCGGGGACAGAGGGTGGCGCTTGGGGGGGAATTGTCGCGCCACTCCTTGGTATGTGGAGTACCTCAGGGTGCGATACTCTCCCCGATGCTTTTCAACATCTTTATGCGCCCCCTCGCCCAGCTTGATCGGAGTTTTGGGCTGGGTTGCCATCAGTATGCTGATGACACCCAACTCTATCTGTTGATGGATGGCCATCCTGACTCGGCCCCAGACACACTGACCAGATGTTTGGAAGCTGTGGCTGGATGGTTACGTGGGAGCCGGTTGAAGCTAAATCCTTCGAAGACAGAGGTCCTGTGGCTGGGACGGGGCGATATGGGATTGGGGGGGCAACTCCCATCTCTTGCGGGGGCGCAATTAGTGCCAGCACCGTCCGTTAAGAGTTTGGGTGTAATCTTCGACACCTCCCTTTCCATGGAGGCGCAGATTGCAGCTATAACAAAGGCGGCATTTTTCCATCTCCGCCAAGCTAAGCAGTTGGCTCCTTACCTCTCTCGCCCTGACCTAGCCACTGTGATCCACGCGACGGTCACCTCCAGACTGGATTATTGTAACTCGCTCTACGTGGGGCTGCCCTTGAGACTGACCCAGAAACTCCAGCGGGTGCAGAATGCTGCAGCGAGACTCCTTACGAGGTCTTCGCTGCGAGATCACATTCACCCGGTGCTATACCAGCTGCACTGGCTCCCGGTGGAGTACAGGATCAGGTTTAAGGTGCTGGTTTTAACCTTTAAAGCCCTATACGGCTTAGGACCCTCGTACCTACGGGACCGCCTCTCCTGGTATGCCCCACAGAGAAACTTACGGTCTTCAAATAAAAACATCTTGAAGGTCCCAGGCCACAGAGAAGTTAGGCTGGCCTCAACGAGAGCCAGGGCCTTTTCGGCTGTGGCTCTGATCTGGTGGAACACTCTGTCACAAGAGACCAGGGCCCTGCGGGACTTGACATCTTTCCGCAGGGCCTGCAAGACAGAGCTGTTCCACCAGGCCTTTGGCAAGGGCACAGCCTGACCCCCCCCTTCGGCAATCTTCGCGGAGCTCTGGCCCAATGGCTGCCAGTGGCTTGAATTAATTAATTTTAGAATGAATGATTTTAGAGTGTTGTTTATGTTGTACTTTTGTACTGTTTTATTGTTGTTAGCCGCCCTGAGCCCGGCTAAGGCTGGGAAGGGCGGGATATAAATAAAATTTATTATTATTATTATTATCATCCCCCCCCCCCGGGGCCAGAAAACAGGGCTGTGTGGGCATTTTTTTACCTGAAGCAACTCCTGGCAAAGTTGAAATTGTGAAATCCATTGTGCCATCCATCAAGTAGCAGTATTTCCTAGCATCATTAGACCTACTGGAGACTTATCTACACATCCTAATAAAGCTCTCACGCCTGAAGTACCTGTGTTTTCATTCATTTTATTCATTTGTATTTATTTAAATATTTATGTTTAATAATAATAAATATTTATTTATAAACTGTGCTTTCACGTACAACGGTATACAGACTGAAAACATAGTATTGCAATAAAAACAGTTATCACGGGCACTTCCGTATAGATCAGTGCCAAAGATGACCTCTGCTGGATCAAGCCAAAAGGCTCATCTAGACCAGCATCCTATTCCCACCGTGACTAATCAATGCCTGAGCACAACAGCACCCTCCCCATTTGTGATTCCCAGCCAACTGGTGTTCAGAATCATGCTTCTTTTAATCCTGCCTTAATGATACCTTGATCCAATCTAGTTCCTGATTTAAGAGACATCAGGACAGCCCAGCTCAGCTTGGACAGCTCCTCAGAACTACAGCTTTGTAGCAAATCTAGAAAAGAGCTAACTGGAATTACCGTAGTGTTCTAGGAACTGTACGTTGGAGAAATTGTCCATTTATTCCCACCCTCTGCTTCTTGTTCCTTAACCACCTACTGATCCACAAGAGGATGTTTCCTCTTATTCCATGACTGATAAACTTACTCAGGAGTCTTTGGTGAGGTACTTTATGAAAGCATTTTCAAAGTACACAGTGTCAACTGGATCTCCTCTGTGTGCTCATTGACACTCTCAGAGATTTCTAATAGGTTAGTGAGACAGGACCTACTCTTGTAGAAGCCCTGTTGGTTCTGCTTTAGCAAGATTTGTTTCTGTATGCATGGTAATTCTGCATTTAAACCTCCCACCAGCTCCCCTTTAGTTCCCTTCATAAAACTGTTGTTCTCCTGGCCACCTTCCAGTCCTCGGGTATAAGAGCTGATCTTAAGGGCATGTGATGTTTTTGTTAGAAGATCTGCAAATTCACGTTTGAATTCCTTAAGAACTCTTCTGTGGATGGCATCCAGACCTAGTGATGTTTCTGTTTTTAATTTGGCCATTGTCACCACTATGTGCCTCAGTTCCTCAGACTTCCTTCCTGAGAAAGTTAGTTTCTGAAAATGAACTCTAATGTGCAGTATCAATTTTAGAGACAGTTACATGTTCCTCACAGGGTAGCAGTCTTAATGAATAGCAAATATATATTTTCTGACGCGAAAATATTTCTTTTCCAACTACATTATGCATTTTTGTATGCTAGGAAGTACTTCTCATCCCTGCAGGTTTTTAAATGCTGCGTTGAACAAAAGCACTGCAGCAAAAAAGTTTGATCTTTTACCTATTCAGTGCTGAAATAAATGGGCCTTATATCACCAAATTACCATGTTTTGCAGCTCAGCAATCAAACCTTTAAATCTGATTTTTAGTTTTTTTTAAAAACGGGTTTTCACCCATTCTCTTCTTTTCTCTCAGAATTCTTAGTCTTACATTTAGTTTTCCAGTGAGTATGTTTTCACATTGATAATGAATAGGGTGGAATTGTCTTTTTGGTGAATTCTGAATAATAGGAAACAAGCAGATGTGCTCACTTGCCAAACATGGAGGAATTTCTTCTGTGTTGAGAATATGCCTCATTCCATATGTGACTCATCAGAGCTTTAAAGAGAATGAGAGCAATTTCAGTTATTATCTTAGGGAAGGATTATTGGTATAATTGTTGACCTGTGCATAGTCAAGCACATTGTTCTTTATAATGCATTCCACATAACATGCATTCTGCTGTGGGCAAAAAAAAGGAGGCAACAATTTGCTCTAATCTCCTGCGTTATACTTACCCACTTTTTGCCTATGATGAACTGAGTTTGACAATGTGTGCAATATAAGAAGATTGCATTGGAAGTCAAAAGCAAACCATTTCTCTCCTTGGGAGATAAAATTGTCTGTACAGCAACAACAACTTGGCTGCTTGGTAAGGCTAGTTGTAGATTTTATATATGATTAAAAACTACCAATCTCTTGTCTTTTTAAACAGATGTTAAGTATTGCTGTGTTCATTTATTATAAAAGCTGCTGCTACATTTACAATGTAAACAAGTTCTCATAGGTTTTGGTTTGGTTTAAATTAATGTATTTCTGTCACCTTCTGTTGGTTTCAAGTTAGTGTTTCCACTTGCATAGTAATGAGGTAATTTCTGCTCTCCAATCATGGAAAAGTTACACATGGATCCCTTTCTGGTCAAGAAGTACCAAACTATTGAAAAGCACTAAAGCCATGGCTTCTTTGGGTTTGATAGGGCCCAATGTGCAGGGCCTAACTTGATTCGTGCCGCTTTGAAAGTGCCTGTCCTCTGAGTGAGCTTTCCGCTCAGGAAAATGTGACAGTTCCTGTCAATGTTGATTGTGCCCTGCCATACATGATAACTGTGGAAATCCTGCCACTATCTGTGATATCCTTTGGATGTTGGCCATATCTTACTATTTTAACCAGCTTCTATTTGGAACGTAGGATATGAGCTTTTGAGTTACAGAGAACTCTAATCAATGAACAATTTGGAGCAACAGAGCAGATATCGGGGTCATAGTGAATAGCTCTGGGGTCATAGCAAATGAAGATGTCCACTCCTCAACTTGCCAACTCAACATTCTGTCTTCTGATACAGGTCCAAAGAGAAGCCCAGGACACCAGGAGCAGAAACAGAGGTCTTTAAGTAAAGATGGTCAGCAGGGAAGCAAGTCCAGTGACTCTGGTGAAGAAGCTGATAAAGATTTTATTTTTGTTTAGTTGGTTGGTTGTGTGTTTGGCAGTGCTCTTTTGTAACAATAAGGGTACCGCTTATCCCTCTTTTTGATCAGTTACTCTCCTTTTATAGAGGAGCATTTGGAAATGGGGGGGGGGAGTGTCTGTGATTGCACTGGTAACTGAACTTCATGACTCTGATCCTTTGTTTTTTCCTGATCTGTACGATTCCAGACATTCCCTTTCACGCCTTTGCAAAAGCCAGCAACTTTTTCATGTCTTCTACTTGAATTTCTCTGAAGCAGCTATAAAAATAATGCCTTGCTTTGCGGGGCTTTGCGGGAGGAAACCCCAAGCAAAGGAACTGGACAATTTCTTACACTAACCCACACTGTACAGCATGAGAGGTGTTGTACTGCTGAATGTAAATGTGTCAAACTTGCACGCAACTTACTTTATAAATATATTCTTGCTGAATGCAATTGCACATTGTAATTATATCAACAGAGCACACTAATAAAATAATTTGTATAAATAATATATATTAGATGCTTGGATATGATTTTTACATTCTCCTTTGGGAGACCTTTTTTCTCGTTTGTTGTACTGTATATAAGAACACAATATCCTACATTTTGTGTACTGTTCTAAAGCACAAAACAACAACCCAGAATTACTAATAACTTGATATGCTTCCATATCCATAAGTAAATGTTTGTTGTTGATTGGAATGCGGGCAATGGACATTTTATTACTGTTGGTATTTTCTAGAGGGCACCTTGGGGGTCAGTCTGCATTCGCTCTAGCTTCTAACGTACTTTTGAAAGAAAAGTAGATTCTTGTCTGTAAAAGCAATCTTTCATTTTTTTTTCTTTGCATATTTCACAGGCATCTGCTTATAATACACGCTGAAGGGAGTTTATTCATAATGTATATTTGTACCAATAAAAATGATTTTACAACTGGAATTTGAATTTCTAATTTTAAAGAAATACTCTCTCGAAGCCTTTGTATATTTATAAATTATAAATCTATAGTTCCATACTCCAGTACATTTTTTCCAAACCCTAAATATAGGCAGATTTCGCATTTAAATTATTTCAAATCATTTTTGTACATAATGTAGCAAGTAACTTCATGTGGACAAAAAATCTTCGTTATTTTTAAGGTCAATCATTTCTTCTGAACGTAACATTGCAGAATATGAGGCATATTGCTGCAAAACAACCCATCATCTTTACACAATTCTATTGTGATGCTTTCTGTATGTTTCTGCCAGTGAATCAACAGATTTTTTTTCCACGTCTACCTTTCTCTGTCACCAAGGGATCAAACACCGATGTGTATCTGTTCATTAATTGGTTCGCTTAACCAATTAATGTTCTGTTACTGTTAACCAAATATCAAAACTAACAGAGGCTAAATTAAGGAAAGTTGGTCATATCAGGCATGCCTTGGTTTAAGAGGGGAGGGCTCTGTGTGCAGGGCTGCCCTGGCCTTAGTTAAAAGGCATGATACATGCAAATGACAGTAGTGAATCCACTGCATTTTTAAAAAAAATAAAATATGAAAAATATTCCTGCCATTTTGAGTGGGAAAACGAGTGATGCTTAACCCTTTCCTGCTCAGCACTGCCCCTTTGCATTGCTTCCTCCATGCAAGGTCCCAGTATGTAATTTCCTTTTATAAATAGACATCTGCAATTGCATAAAGAGGGATAGCTTTGGCAAAGGATAGGGAGAGTTTTTAAGTATCATATCCTTCTCTGCTAAAAAATGTAGCATCCTAAAATTACTTTAAAAAATAAAAATAAAGACTGTTCAGACAGTTACGTGTAACATGGTTTGCCCTCAAGACAAGCCCTTACCTTAGAGGACTACTGCCAAGCTTCTCTTTCAGCCTATAATATACAGCGAATGAAGTAATTCAACACGTTAAGAAGGCAGAGGTCAACTCTACCATTATTTAATCTATTATGCGACAACCATTATTATTAGTATAAGTGGGTTCTATGAAAATAAATGGGATCAAGTGAACCAGAAAGGTAAGGTTAAACATTCGAAACGTTAATCTTTTCCTCTACAATAATCGTTTAGGTAATATTATTTCAGGAAGGTTGTTCGTAACCATATCTGGTGAGCAGAGCAAAGTGACCCTGGGTTTTCCCATCTTTCGAGTCATTTTTCTTTCTTTCTTCCAATGAGGAAGTGAACATGTAGAACCAGAGGAGGATATAAAAGCTCTCTTAGAAGAACTGTTGTTTTAATTAGATTGACCGTGTCCAGGAAAGGGATAGGGCTGCTATCTGCACAAATCCAATTTGCTTGAATTCAGCAAAGTTAACTCTCTAAATGACTGCTGAAAGGCACAACAGAGGGGGAAATGAAGTAAGTCTATCCCCTCATTTCCCATAAGCTTTTTTCTCCAAAACCCTCTGGCAGAAAAAACCCTTTTGGAAGTTAATGCAGCTTGCAGTGTTGATTGGAGCATTATAGGTCAGCAAAGGGACAGTGGCATAGATGTTTGTCATATTACCAGTCAATGTAAAACCCAACAGGCTTGCCAATATGATTGTCCCATCAGTGTCCATAAAGTACTATGTTTCAGTGCCACGTTAATCTTGAAATTAAAAAGTTGGAGGGATGGTTGCCGATTCCTTTATGTGGTTCCTGAGCCAACAATGGAAGGGGCCACGCTTGTTTATAGTGTTGCACTTTTCCCCTTCCAGAGCTATGGTAGGGGGGAAATGGTTTAATTAATTAATTACATTCCAAGCCACCCTTCATCCAAACAGATTCCAAGGAAATTGACAACAATAACCAAATAAAATAAAAGTGAAACATAATCATTCAAAGAAAAAAACCCCACACAGCATACATCTAAAAAACAACAGCTAAAAAAAATGCATCAAAAACAAATGTAACCCTTTTAAACTTCATGAGCAAACAAAAATGGCTTAAGCAGGCATCAAAAAGATGATAATGCCAATTGAACCTCCCCAGGGAGGGTATTTCAAAGTCAGGCAGTTCCTACAGAAAAAAGGCTTCTCCTTTGTGTAAGCATAATTCAGATCAGCAAGCAACAGCAGTCGAAGGGCAGAGACTCCCTTTCTCTCCTAAGAAGTTTGCTGGCAAAGGCAGTTGTTTCCATCTGCAGTCGCACCTACTCTTGGCTACAGGTAGTGTTGAGCTGCTATGGGGAGGGCCTGTCCAGCTCTCCAACTCACCCCTGCCTGCCTGGCTAGTAACAGAGTGATCTATCTAGTAGTTCTAGAATGGGGCATTCTTTCAATTCTGGGAAGTACCTCCTCTTGGTTGTCAGACAGGAGTCTTCTAGTAAGAGCATCACTAGGGGGTGGAGCTAAAACAGACTGCCTGTAGACAGAGTGTGACTAAGATTTCTCTACCCAAAGCCACAACACAGAATGGAGTGAATGGACTAAAAGTGTGAACAGAGGCAGATTGTGGGTTGCACCAATGTAGCTTCACTGAGACACACACACACACTGCAGTCATCTTCACTATCCCACATTACATGGCATTGCATCCTTGTGACCAGTCTTTTACTTCCTTTGAGCATAAAAGCATTGTAGACAAGTTTGTGGCACCCTAGCTAAAAGTCCATGGCATTATCTGCAGGCTGGGGTAAACTTGTACTCAAAGGACCTTCCACCAACAGTTAACCAGAGGTGGCTAACACATTTTCATCAGCAGCATCTAGCCATGAGTTCCACTCTCCATATTTCTTCAAGGTAGGTGCCTTGGTGAATTGCTTTGCACTATTGCTGGATATGCAGAAAATATGTTTGTGGAAATGTTGCAGGCTTTCATATCTTTCTGTTCTTCAGACCACAGGTGTTCAGCACAAATATTACAAATAAAATAAGGTTAGGATTTGATCATTTTTTAAACAAAACAGAATCAAATTTTTATTTTAGCTGTTCTTGCATTGCAGGAAAGTGATGTGTCAACTTTGTTCAGCTATCAGCATGTCTTTGATCAATTCCCCCACTTTGAATGTTTATTTCAATGTTCAAAGACCCCCTTAGTGGGCTGCTGCCTGTTTTCCTATCAAATATCTTCTCAGCTGCTTTGAAAAGGCTTGTTTGGCAGAACCATGTGTGTCAGGTTCAATTTAAATTATATGCTGTGAGGCAGATAAGCGTGTTTTCTTTGTAGTCTTAAATCATTCGTCAGACATGCAATTGTATATTATCATTGAACATTCCACATTTATAAAGTCAAAACTAAAATTCCACATAATTTTGCATTCAGTTGTATGTCTGAATTGTTTGAACTTTAGGGGGCCATTTGTGATACTTATCCTGGGCTATATTTATTCCCCTTAACAAGTATGTCTGTTGAAGAAAGTTAGTATTGGTATTCACAGCTATTGACCTGACCTTGTATTCACACCTTGTGATATGCTGACCTAGGCCATGGACATAATCCACATTTAAGAGCTCTGTATGGTGGTGGAATAATTTAGACCACAGTTGCCTTTCAGCAAAAAATAATTACTTTTTCCTGCATGCTCAAAGGACTTCACATACGTTGACAGTAAACCTTACGCCAACTAAGGTAGACAGGATGCACTTTCCCTTTTTTTCAGGTGGCATGTCTGAGGCTCAGAGATAACTGTTGCCCTAAGGCCAGCTATTAAGGTCAAACCCAAAACAAGATTGAAACCAGGGACTTCCTGGTTTCCGACTCTTTCTCGTAACTGCTGCTTTCGGGCTTATATCTGGGAGGTGATAGTGCTAATTTCAGGTGAGTGACGTGGGCTAGCAGCTCCCATGTTGCACCAGTAACATATTGTTACAGAGGTTGTGCACCACTCCTAATCTCTGCCAAGCAGCAACAAGATTTCAGGGGTTTCCAGCTGCTCACCCAGGGTTGTATTCCCATTGGGAAATCAAGGCACAGGTAAAAGGACCCCTGACCATTAGGTCCAGTCGTGACTGACTCTGGAGTTGCGGCGCTCATCTCTCTTTACTGGCCGAGGGAGCTGGCATTTGTCTGCAGACAGCTTCTGGGTCATGTGGCCAGCATGACTAAGCCGCTTCTGGGGAACCAGAGCAGTGCACGGAAACGCTGTTTACCTTCCTGCTGGAGTGGTACCTATTTATCTACTTGCACCTTGATGTGCTTTCGAACTGCTAGGTTGGCAGGAGCAGGGACCGAGCAACGGGAGCTCTCCCCGTCGTGGGGATTCGAACCGCCAACCTTCTGATCAGCAAGTCCTAGGCTCTGTGGTTTAACCCACAGTGTCACCCACGTCCCAAAACACCTGGAGATGCCGGGGATTGAACCCGTGGCTTCGTACACGCAAAGCACGCGTAGTACACATATTTACAAGCAAATGTTCCTCAGGGGTGGGGGAGGAATCTACCCTCTGCTCTCCTAAATTTGGGGTTCAAGTCCTAGGATTCCAGGCCTCCTGCAGTACTTCTTACCGAAAGCTTTTGTTCAACGGAAGGCAGATCTGAATGCTGAACAATTCAGTACTCCTATAAATGCTTCACTCTACTTCTAGCAACATCTTACAGCTTGAAGAAAAGCTTGTTGAAACTTGTAACAGCTTTTGATAATTTGAGGGTTGGGAGGTTGGATAAGGCTTTACTTATCCATCTGTGAGACAGTCATTTTCTTTTGCAAAAAGAGAATTTGATTGCGAACATTCTTACAAAATAGCAAATAGAATGTGGTGTGGCAACCGCAGTCATTTTTGTCAATACTTATTGTTCAGTACTGTGCGAGAAGCTTAGCTTGTTTGCATTGTGTTACTATACAATCATGAAGACAAAATAAGTCAATAACTGAGACAACCAAATGTAGACAATTTAGTTAGTGCCTTTTATTTTCTTTCATAATATCCTATCCAGTTTTCAATGCACTTAAATGCATTTTGCAGGCTTTAACATAATGCTTGTTAAATTTAAAACTCAGAATACCTTTTCTATTTCAAA